ATTCCTCAAAAAAAACTATTGAGAGAATGGTCGATGCGCGACACCGGGTTATATAGGGTTTATTAATTGGCAAAAGGGCTGTGATAGGACGAAGTGCTAATTCCCGAATTTATTCTCCGATGGTGGCGCTGCTGACAATATGCCAAAGTGTACAAATGTAATAGTTTACATATTGCCTTTGGACTTTTGACCAGCTCATTATAGCTTCATATGCGACAGTATTAGTGGATCTGTTCTCATTTTTTGGGATGTGTTTTGTAGGAAGTTATGTAAGAGCATCTTACAAGTAAATCTATTTTTATTGTGTTGTGTTTTCTAGATGGCGATTCATTATTAATACAAAGTTATTTTATAAATTAAAAATAGCCCCTATGAAATTAAGGGTCAACTAAAAATTGCCAAATGCCCATAAATCGCGTTCTAAAAGCATGTTCTTAAAGTATGTTAGGTGTGTTATTATTATAATAATTGAATGTTTTTTGAGTGACATTCACCAAGCGAGCAATTTGTCTTGTGTTTAGATCTGAAACCAGTAAGCTTTTCCTTTAATGTTGGACCCTCGAATGAATCCATAAAGATACTGCTTCGCGAACGATACCAAACGAACTTAACGAAAATAACTCCGCCATTCGAAATTCTACTGCCGAAATAGCTGAACATTTTTCCGATGTGTCTTGCGTTGTAAAATTTCGAATAAAGCGTGGTCAAGAGAGGCGATCTACTTTGCAATGTCTAATATAATATCGGCGTCTTAAGGGTATCTGCTTGTTTTGTCAACAAATTGATAGTGTTAAGCAAAAATAACTGCATTACTACTAAGTGGACTTCAGACAAAAATCACTTTAAAAATGTAAGATGTCAGTTTGTAAATCTTTTCACTGCCTTCTTTTAATTGGCTCTGTAGTTTAAAAAATATAAGAGTTACAAGGGTGGACAATATCTAATTAATACTCACACACAAGGAACCGAGCTTACCTGAATAATAATATTTGAAAATTATAAATAAAAACGAACACTTGAAAATTTTCATTTTTGGTTTAGGTGGGGTTAGAACGACAGAGCGTTTTGTAGATATGTGTCGCATCATGTTGTAGGCTCTTGCGGAAAAAAATGCTAAAAGAGTGTTAGTTATGTTTACAAATTCCTTCATTACATGAATAACGCTCCGAGTTACATCTAGTTAAGTTCATTGAAATAGCAGTCTTTGAAGTTTGATATTCGATTTGAGCCAGCGTCGTTTCTAACATTAATTAAATCTGAGTTCGGGTATGTTTTGCTTTACTTATATTCATTCATTATCCGCGTTAGATTCGCATTAATTAATCAAGCAATGTGATGCCTGTAGTTGAGCTGGAACGCATTTAAATGAAGTAACAGTTTCGTCATGCAATATATGAATTTATATGAAGCAATATAATAGCCCCATTGTCAGTTGTTTACTATATCGTCTGTCACTGTAATTAATCTCAAAGTCGCAGGAGGCATAAACTTGTTCTTAATGCCGGGATACATGTGGCACCTATGCACCTTCTCACACCTTACTATTCTGAAAAGTATACCAAAAATATAACACGGCCAATCGTGAACAAAATTATACACAAACATATCTTTCTCACGAAATTATATTCTTTAAAATAGCACTATAAATTTGATCAACAAACGAGCTAAGTAGCAAATCATTCCTTACTGAAACGTCCCGTCACTAACAAAACGTTCTAAATAAGTAAAGAAATCAATAGAAAAAACATACAAACATTTTAGACCTACTATCCTAAAAATAGAATAGAAAAATAGAATCCTAAAAAAACTTTAGTAATGAAATTCACAGGCCCATACATAGGTCCTTTCGAAGGGTTAAGTGGGCTAAGACCGAGAGTAAAAATTCACACATAAAATTTCTTGGTACAGCACTTGACTGTCAATTATGCTAATCCACTCAAATAGTCTGTGTCTCGAAAAAAAAATTAATTCATATATTTTTCTACATTAACATTGAAATCTTCCTTAAATACCCCTTCTCGCTTAAATGGATCATCAGTATACTCGGTAATCTCTTGCAATATCACAAATTGGGGAGGAGCAAAAAAAAATATCGATCAATATACAACTTAAAACTATCACCTACCTATCTATCTAGATCTATCATGCATCCCTATTCAACCAGAAACAAAAATAAATTTCAATTAAATAACAGTTGCTATGAAAAAAATCTTATTACGTTCAATATGCTTCCTGCAAAAATCAGAGAATTACAACAAAAGAAATTCAAAAAATATTCTGCAAAAAATGTATAAAAATAAATAAGAATTACAAGTTCAGATTTTCACGAAATTATATATTATGACATGACAATTGTTTCGATAACACCGTGTCTTTATCAAATGTACACACATTTGATAAAGACACGGTGTTGTCGAAACAATTGTCATGTCATAATATACAATTTCGTGAAACTCTGAACTTTTAGTTCTTATTTATTTTGATAAATGGATTTTCATCAAGTAAAAGCCACCTCAGTTCAATTTTTAAAAAATGAAACTAGTACCCAAGGGGATAAATGCACTCGCGGCTTCGGAAGACCACATAGACCACTAAACTTTTGGTTAGTTTGATGATTATGCATTATGTATTGTAACTACCTATTCTTCTATTCTACCTAATGCTGCATCTGCCCTTTTAAACTCTGAGAAATGGATTTGTGTTCCTAATCACTTCATACAGGTTAAGTATAATTAACGAGGTACATCACGATGCATGTCCATTGCCTTGCGGGTATCTCTATCAATCTGTTTCAGTTAGTCGATGTTCTATTTGACGACTTCAAAAGAGTATAGAACAACACAAATAGGTATTATTGATAATATAGTATTGTGGGCAATTTCTTACTGGTCTAGGCAGCGTGAAGGTGAAGGGATACTTTGAAATGAGTTTAATAGAATAATTATTCTATTAAAATTTGAGTATAAAAATTGAGTAATAGATTAGGTCACTATTTGGGTATTTATTTTAATATTTGGTCACAATAACTAAATATGTCACCCAAAATCACAATTAACGTCACTTCCAACTTCATTAAACTTCTTCTAATGGTAATGATTACTGAGTGTTTCTTGGTATTCTTTACAGCTAAAGAACTGACTCACTCCCTAACAAGAACATGCTCGTCTCAAGTATTGGGTCCTAATTAGGACGGTATTTGGTTTTATTTAGTTAAACAGTTCTCTATATTATGTTTATATAATTACATTTGCCTTGCGTCTCATTGTGTCCTACGTAGCTTCCCTTTATACATACAGTTCATGCAGCGGCTCTAGAATTTAGAATCTAGAAAAATATTTTTTTTCAAACATCAAATTGAACCAAGAGATTTTCTCTCTCTCTCTTCTGTAGTACCTCAACTCTAGGACACGTCAATCTCCAGACAACCGCTCCAGTTAGTTCAGCAGCAAACCATTATACTTTAAAACCCATTAGGCAGTCGAAATAAGGGAGTATAATTATGTTTACTTAATATTAGAAGTAATTCTTTCCGTTAATCTAATCCCCAGGTAAAGTAGACGCTTACTTACTATTTAACACAAAATCCTAACTTTATCGGAAAGTCGGTTAGGTTTGTTAGGGTTTTACAATTTCGCAATTATATTGCGGGATTGCGGTAATTGCAATTTCGGTTTGCCATTGTTAGTTTAACAGCCCCGACATGCTTAGATAAGTATTTGCGCTAAAACCGGCCACGAAACTTTTGCCGTGGCAAACACCACGGAAACATTATTAGTTAATGTCCTTTGAACTGAGTTTTAGATATTATTCATTTTATGAGTAATAAAATTTAAATGGGTTTTCAGGGCTCAACTTGGTCTATCCGGAAACTGTTCATTACAAGTTTACTAGGGTGTTAATTACGCACCAATTTGAATTCTTACATTTAATAATAGTTCCCATTAATATGTTGTTGTAAAATATTTTCAAATGACTGACAATTTGAATTTCTATCCATCTGCTTTGGGATTCCGAAGAAAAGGTTAGAACACAGTGAATGAAGTATCAAATATGCACTTAACAAACCGTTTAAAATAGCTTATGGCTTATGGCATACTCAGTCATTGAATTGAATTATGAAAGGTTGAGCACGGCTCAACAACACTCTAAAATATTGATACTGTATTACACAATTTTTAGAAACGAGTGCAGTGATGGTTTCTGGGCCAAAACTAGCTCTACATTTCTTATAAACTGTAAAAACAATAGACGTTAATGGTTAATGGTACTCTTTTTAAATCTTTATAAATCAACAAATCTCTAACCATCGATTAACTATTGCCCTCTAATTTTCTTAGAAACCTTTTCTAAATTAAAAACACAAACTATTAGCATACAAAACTTGATACTTGAGAAAATGTATATCTCTGAAATTAACTGAAACTAACAAAATAGTTTCACAGCATAGTTTTTACAGTTCATTTCTTCTGTGGTTAGATAAACTGTTACATATTGATGCATTTTTTATTAATTAGTGTTCAGTGTCTGTCAGCTAACAGCACATCTTAGAAGCATAGAACGAAAAATCTGTAATAAATCATCACTTGAATTAACTTCAAGATTAGCTTTGTTTTGGTTAAATTTTGGAAAGGTTGTGATAAATGATGACACCAAAACAAGACTCGTGTTTGTGAGCCAAGAATACAGAAAAGCCATAACAACATTCCGTATTCGTGTCCATTTCTAAGTGAGTAAACCTCATTTGAGTTAAATCGAACAAGAACACCGCGCAATAGAACATCAATAATCACACCAAGTTTATCAAAAATAATTATTATAAACTTGCCTACGCTATAATGTGGTCAATTAACTTTACAACACTCGTGATTAAAAACTTTGTAGTACTAGCAGTACGAACAATCTGACACCTTGTAATAAGCTAATTTTTTTTTTATGAAATTTATTGTTAGATATTTTAGTAAGATTGGGAGCCTGTTGAACCATCATGCTGTTAGTTACAGAGTGGTGGCCGTGGTTGCTGGTAACTCAGATGCAGTGACCTTGAGAGGGCTCAAAGCAGACACGCAGTATCAGCTGACCGTCGCCGCTGTCTGGCAAGGCAAAAAGTATCGCAGCAGGCCTATCGTCTTCCGCACCTTGGGTAAGAGCTCATGAAAGTATTACTACTGAACACACGAATTGGTTACCTCCATTTTTCAAAAAATAGTTTAAGTAACAAACTCTTGAGATATTCCTCTTGTTTTAGCATTTTTTGCAATTCTTGTCATTTCAATTGTTTGTAATTGTGGTCATGTTTCCCTTTTCTGACTAGTTTTCTTTTGTATCAGCAAAGAAAAGTAAAAGTCATCAATCACATAGAAGCCACTAATTGCACGTTATGGTCGTAAAAAGTTTCTAACCAACCACAGATGTACTTCTCGTTGCTAAGGAAAATAGTTTTTGACAGAAAGGTCGAGGAAAAACTCCTCATTTCAAATATAGCGAAAGTAGCAAAAATATGTCTGACCCCACTCTAAACGTTTGAAAAAAATCGACAATTATTATACTAAACTGAGAGAGGAATTATTCCAGAATAGTTAAGATAGCCTCATATATTCATTAAAAAGGTTAATTCGCTGCAATTTTAACTAGCATTTTTTAGAGCCCGTATTCTTATAAATCACTGGCGCTGAATGATAAGATATTGTGCATTTAAATAAATCGACAATGGTTTTGAAAACACTCAATAAAATTATTACAGACATTTCTATTCAGATTAAGATTTATACTGGCAACACCTGTGCACAAACTATGAAGACCCATTATTTTGACGCCTTCCAATATTTTTGTTTGTACTTCACAGTTCACATTTATTAAGTTGTTCTAAATAGAGATAAAAGAAACCTTTCCGCTGTTGCCAGAAGGTTGAGGTAGGGAAAACAACTTCTCAATGTTAGGTCTGATTTCCTATCGACAAGAATATCTAAAAATGGGATATTATGATTAGTTTCTAATTCAATGGTAAAACGTACGTCAAGGTGTATAGAGTTTAAATGGCTACTAGATTTTCTTTCTTAATTGTGAGTTCAGTGACTGGGGTGAGATAGTTTTACGACTTTGTACACAAGAGAGAGGATAACCAATGATTATGGGGCCGGATGGTGATGTGACAATGCATTAAGGTATCGGGGTGTTTCGATATAGTATATTATATATTATATTACAGTTATCGAAAATTATTATCTTCTCGATGGAATCCCAAAATATTCCCAAAATTTTCCGAATTAGTCACTACCGATAGCAATATAAGGCGATCCCCATGTAAACGTAGAAAAATCGGTTTAGATGAAAGTATTAATGCTTAATATTACAGTACGCTACTGCCAGGTCGCAAGGAGATTCATCAGTTACGTATAGTTGGTATGTTTCTTAGTGATTTGAATATATTTTTTAAGTTTTTGTAAATTTACAATATACACACACAATATACAATGTTATCAAAGCGTAGATACTGCTCCATAAAATGGATTTAGGATTTGGACCTAGACTTTTCGGCACGTAATAATTTAACTGTCTCCTATAATTTGGAAGTCCCAACAAGAGATTTACATTAAGCTAGGGATCTGCCGGTATTTAGTATGTATTTGGTACATACAGCTACACTTCGAAGCCGCGTCAAAAGGTTCCTGAAATATTCGGGAATCTAGGAGATTACATTTCAATTCGTAATAAATTCATGTAATATTCGTAAAGGTAGTTTTGATAAACAAATAACTATGTTTGTTGTAATTATTCTAAGTGGAAGCAAACATTGAAGCTTATTAACTGTTAGATCCAGTAACTAAAGTCTTTGCTTGATAAAAGTCTTTTAATTTAGTTATAATTTGGCCAATAAATTTACTCCTCCTGAGATTTCTCCAAAGTGTAAATCCAGAATTTCCTGCTAACTAGTCATTTCGTGCCGCAAGACACTTTCATGAAATTTTACAAAAATAACTGCGGTACTAACCCTGTTACTTTGGAGATAAGCACGTGTAGGAAAATGAATTGCTCGATTCCCTGTTTAATTAATGCAAGTGGCTGTCTCAGCCGGAAACTGTTTTCTTCCATTCAAATTTGCGAAATTAATTAACACAATACAATTGAACTATGTATTGGTTACTTTCTCAAGCTGACAGCAGTCAATCATAAACTTCCAAGAAATTCACAAATTTTTATAATTATTTATTACAATTACTTAAAATTTGTTGTGCATAACTTTACATATTTTATAATGTTATGTGAAAAAAAAAAAAGAAAATGCAGTACCCTCTTGCATTAGGTAGAAATTTAATTATATTATTGTATTATTATCATATATTTAAATTAAAATTAAATTAACATAATGTTTATTAACATAATATTAGTGCAAATTGTTCGCTTGTGTCAGTAACGTAAGAGCCCGATTAAGTGACGAGTGAAATTTATCAACGTGTTGCATACTGTACATTTTCTAGGATTACAGTTTTGCGATACATTTCTGCTAAACATCTCAAATGCTGAATCAGAAGTAACAAACACAAGTTCCTATCAAGGTAAAGAATAATAAACTTTATAGTGCAAAACATCGACACAAAAGTCGTCTTTTATCTACTTAATCCTATTTCTGAATTAATCTGTTTCTCTTTTAAAAGGTTACCTGATTGGAAGGTAATAAATGTCAATTTGCTTATTTGCTTTGTGAATTGGTTCTGTCACATAACATTTTCCGAAGACGAAACTGCATTAAATAAAAACAAAACGAAAGAGTTTTGCCCGTGGTTGACGGAAAACCAATTTATTATCATCAGCTGTGACCGCCATCGATCAAATACCGAGTTTTAGTCGAGAAAATATTAAAAATTACGAGAAACGAAACAAAGCGTTTCGGTTAAAACAGATTTATTTTTACCTACAGGTCCGGCAAACGCTTTGATAAAATTAGAAAAGGTTTAGATAAGGAATGTAATGAAAGTATCCTCTTCATGTCCACAAATGCGCATACAACCGTCTGGGGAACAAACAGATCACCTTGAGTGCATTCGTAGATATAAAAAAATCGGGGACGCTGAAAAATAAAACCATCACGACGACCAGAGCATGTCCTTAAGGCGGGGTGCTATCCCTGGCTATGGGCACTACCGACGTTCACTGACGTTCTATGGACATTAGAGAATAAAATAACTTATTCATTCTACAACACTGTCCAGTCCAAGTACCAGCACGAAATTGCGTATAATTTTCGCCTTTTCAAAGAAGTCATATTCAGGATTTGCACTAAAGTGCTTTATGGTACAATCTAAGCTGTCCAACATTCTTTTCGAATTTGTAATCCTAACTGACATCTCCAAACTCTTTTTACAAATAAAATGAAATTCAGAACAACTTTTTTCTTTACCTTGCTTTTTGGAATAATAGTTCTGGGTTCAAAATGTAATTCGGTTCAAGATACGTTTCACATTTTACTTGCCAACATTTTACAATTTCCATTCACCAAACAAAAGACATCTTCAAATAAGGAATGGTATGAATAGATAGAAGATAATTTGCATCTTATTTTATTCGCAATTAATATCAATTTAGCAAACAAATTTTGATATGTAAACACCAGATAATCGTAACCAGGTGGGGGCAACGTAAAAACAAAACTGCATTAACTTTGGAATTATGTGATGCGTTTATCGATCATTTACTGTGATATCAAAAGAGTAATGCGGGAAAATTTCTAATTTGCTAAAATAGTAACATATTTTATAAAATAATGTAACCATGAGCGAATTATTTGGTATTGATTTTGAAGAAGATATTACCGAGAGAAAAATTTAAATAAACAAATATTTATACTTTACAGCAGGTAAAGCCTCTTGGTTTAGCGATGTGCGAATTAGGCGCAGAATTTCTTTGCGTTCCAGAGCCTCCTCGGTCATTTCCACAGCAGGACTCCATGGCAGCACCCTTCTCCACTGAGACCCCCACATTCAAGGAGACTACTCCAGCGGACATACCCGTAGAATATCCTCAAACCAGTTCAACGGTAAATTGTTTCTTCCTTAAATCAATAGCTTTAATTAAAATATATTTTAGGTGTGACGGATAGTATAGCCCAGTAATTAAAATTTACTTAGAAAAATTTGCCGAAGTTTTAATGTTTCTATGTTTCTTGTTTCTGTGTACTAAGAGAAATATAAGCTTAATAGTCTAACAAACTTTGAAACACTGTAGCTCGTATATCTAAAAATCATTGGTACTGAATTTCAGTAAATATATACTTTGTTAACTTCTGAATATTCAAAATAGAATAAGTAATAAAATAGCTAATAAGAATTGAGTGTGTGTGTCAGTATATAATGACACATTTTAATATTTATGAAGCAAATGGAAGAAATAATGTGAGGACACTATATTTTCCCATTCTTATTATTCCCATTTAATCCTATTTGGCTATTTTACGGAATGATGATGAGTTCCAACTGAACCATGCGATGATCATATTAGTGTATAAGCCAAATTTCTTAACAAATATCATCTGTCATTTGGGGTGCATAATATATTTTCTACTCCCGTCTGTAAAATACCTAATTACCCACCGATCCAGCGTGCGGGAAGCGTCACTTTAACACGTCAGTTTCGTTTCCCATGAATCCGAGCCACTTCGGACTTTTCCCGGATTTTATCGCACGGATTTGAGAGCAATCGGATGTTTTCGCTGATATTCCTACGCTTTGAATTTTGAGGTTTGTCAATTCTGACGGTCATGTCAGTGAATGTATTCGTGTTGTTTTGCGAAAATGTAACCAAAAACCTACGGTCGTAGAAAAAGTATAGTATGCAACACGTTCAGTAAAATTTTTAACTCAATCGCTCCGCTCGTGTCAAATAAACTCGTGAGTCAAATGACGTTTACCGCACTTGTTGCATAATATACTATTACCAGTTGCCATTAAACCTACTCGTTTATCGTTCGGATCAGTTCTGCTATTTTCGTCTCTTTTTAACTGTGTATATTAGAAAGAGAGAGAGAGAGAGAGAGATGTATTATTGGATATGTCTTATAAACAACGGAATAAAAACAATTTTAAAACGTTATGTTATGTTGTTTATTTAAAAATAGAGCTTTTAAGAGGATGACATTTTCAACATCGTATAAACAAGAAAAAGCAGCTCCTAACCTTCAGTTTTGTTTTGTTTGTACTGATGAAACATGGATATTTGAAAATGGTATGATTGATCTTGGCAAGATATTAATATTAAAACTGTAAAAACCACTAAAGTTCATGCGCACGGTATGTAAAATCTCTGTGGGAAACTTAAATAATAAATGTTCCTTTACTTACCGACTAGTCTACTAGATGTTAATTGTAGCTTAAAGCACGTAATATTTAAATTGTCTGATATACTGCATGTGTATTAATTTTTGGGTACATTTTCGCAAAATTCCAAGCCTGGGAAATATCTCCGAAAACATCCGATTGCTCCCAAACCCGCACGGTAATAGCCCGGAAATGTCCGGAGTGACTCAGGTCCCTTAAAACAAAACTGAAGTGGTAAAATGACATTTTCCGCACGCTAAATCGGTGTATAATTGAGATTTTTTTCAAAACCTGTTTTTGGATTCAATTGACTATAAAGGACGAATGCCAGAATAACAGAGTGGTCGGTGTAAGCTTAATCCACATGAATTATATATTAATTTGTTATCTATTTTGTTTTAATTTCATTCATAAAGAGTGCATCATCTATAGATGCGTCACACAAATGTCGTTGGTTTCTGAAAAGCAGATTGTTCAAAGATCAAATTTTGGTCTAATTTTCTAATTAACTGAGAAAGCTTGTATAGTTAATAATAAAAATTGACAGTTTTAGACTTTTTAATTGAAAATTAAGAATTTGAAACTGATTTAAACGTCGCTTTTAGAGGGCGCTAGTTTCCTTTAGATAAATCGAATCATATTTTTTTTATCTGTAAATGTAAATATTGACAAGTGCGAACAAAAGTCTACTTAGAAGAAAATAGGCAAATCATAAATTTGAGTGTATGGCAAAAGGTATTGAGGTAAATGATGGACTATTCTTACATTTGATTTGATTTTTTGTTATTGCGATTAAAGTAAATTAAAGTAAATAGGTAAAAAACCGACAGGGTTAGACTATGCGAAGAAGAACACCATGAAAAATTTAATATTCTTTCAGATTTTCATCGTTTTTCATCCCCAACTCCAAAGATAAAAATAATATGATTCGACTTATCAAAAAGTTATAATAAAGCTAGCGCCCTCTAGAAATAACATAAAGTTTCACATTCGAACTGTCAATTTTTATTATCAATCTATAAAAACTTGCTCAATCGATGAGAAAATTCAGAATAAAATTTAAAATTTTAACGCACTGAATCATATTTTGGTTGAGAGCTTGTCAATCCTTTAGCCTTATGCGTAAGCCAAGATGGTGTAAACGTTTTATTCGTTTTTACTTCATATTAGTTTACGGTTTCTGCTCCGGGTGGGATGCTGGTTTTATTTTCTATATTGCAAGTAAGTTTGTTTAACATTTAGGATTCCGGTTTACCGCTTGGTTACTTACTTCCTTGACACTCCAAATACGGTATTTTAAACGCTATCTAAAGATGAGCATTTGAGTGCTCGAAACATGTACTAACGTATTGACGACTTTGTGTAAAAAAGGATATATTACATTATTATGGAGGAGTAGTAGTTTCTTTTCTCTTGACAAAATACAATTTTCGATTGTGTTATTACAATACGTAAATACAACTGAGTTTTCTGTTTCAGGTGCGAGGTGTAGAAATAGGAATAGTACTGTTAGTTCTAGTAGTGTGGGTGGCTGCGATCGCGCTCTTCTTCAACCGATGGGGCAAGATCAGAATGCTACTCCCTTACCAGCCGGATTACAAACAGGAGCAGTTGAAGGTGCCGGGCACAGCAGCGTGCGCGGCTGCAGTAGCGTCGGGAAACACATGCGTCCACCCGGGCCCAAATATTTGCCAGCAGGTAAAACACGATTATATATTAGTAATAAGGCCGTGCAGGCGTAACCGACTAGTCCTAACTAAATAAAGTTCAAATTACTACCCTCAACAGTAAGCGACTGCATTTTCTCATTCTACTTACAGTAGACGTTCACTTCACAAAAACTCATTTGAAAGGCATGCTCAACCTCAATTCCAAACGGGAGTTCAGGCCATAATATTAACATCGCGAAATCAATCGAAGCATTAACATCCGCGTTACAGAAAGCAGTCAAGAATATAAGAATATTTAAAGCTCACGAAGACTACCATGGCTTACCATTTTTTATGATACTACCTTATAACTTCGAAACCATCAAAATCGAGTATAAACAGCGACAAGTAGTATGTCAAATGACAGTTCCACTTTATCCAAGTAAGATTAAATAAGAAATATTTCCGTGGCTCAAAAACGAAAACACATTAAAATTTTTACGAATCATACCAAACTTACGCACGTTTTGGAACATTTAAAATTTTGACAGCTTTAAAAGCCGTAGTGTCATAGCTACAGGTAGAAGATAAGTTAGTTGTGAGTGAGTAAGAATCACAAAAAAAAGCAAATTCAGTCTTATTGTACAAAATGAATGTATTGTCTGTTAGAAACTGATAACATATTATCTAGGAAATTAAATAATAAACCGCCATTGGCGCAGCATGCGCAGTTACTATAACAAACCGAAGTGACAGGGAAGTGTCCCAAAAAATAGTTATTTTAATTTAAAATGTTCGTAATATAATCTACAACACCTAACTTCAAAGAAACCATTCCCGGAAGGAGGTATAAAACAAACGAAGGCGATGTTAAATTTTCGCGTAATAAAACGAATCGTTGCAATAACGCAAGTGACACGAACTGGTTGTAGGTAAGCAATATCTACGCAGGACAAATTTAATACGGTTTGGATTGTACGAAATTCTCTTTACCGAAACAATGCGTTTTATTATATTTTCCCGGCTTGTTACACCGGTCAGAGGCGATGAAATTGGATTTTTATTTATGACTAGGAATTTAATTTTCCCGAAAAACAAATTGAATTTCACGGGGTTTCCGTGCCTGATCGAAATTGTAATTACTGCTTATTATTCTTGCATGCCAGGCTATTGTTTCCAAAAAACTATTTTAATTGAAGGGAATTAAATTTGATACGTGGAAAATGTGATGGCGCCGGAACGAATATCATGTCATATCCATACAATTTGTAGTTGACTCCTTTCTTGTTTACTGCACCTTTTTTTTAAATTTCAACTTTGAATTTAAAATTACGATTTATTAAAATTTTAGTTGTTCTTTTATTATTTCAAAGAAACTTCAGCAGACTGTTGAACTTAATTTCTCTTGTGTCAGGTATTGCGTCCTTTTGCAGGTAGCACAATCATGCTTTAGATTAAAAAAATACACTTCACCAGAACCACCTACACAAAGTAATTCTATAACATCAGATATCAGCCAGACTTCGACAAATAACGACATCAGCAGTTTCTCAATATCATCCCGAGACGGCCCTCAGTTTCAAGCAGGGATCTGAAGAAGCCAGAACCATGTTTGGCGAAACGTCAGCAAGAAAGAGTCAATACCCGACGCAAGAGAAATCCAGATGGAACCAATAACAAACCACACATGTTAAAATACCCACCCATATTCATATTTCTTATTGTGTAATCGCCAAAGTCAAAACCAATTGTTCAAGTGAACTAAGCATAAATAGCACACATAGTTTCAATATAGTGAGTAAGATAAAATGGACTTGTTAAAGTGGTTTTCCGTATAAGCAAGGAACTAAAATAATTGATGTGATAATTATAATTAAAATAATAACAGACCCTACAAATGATTCACATAACCGAAAACAAAACTACTTTTCTTTATTCCTTGTCAATGAGCACACTACCTCCAACGCAAGCTGCCATAAATAGTCTTCAATTTTTACTGGAATAATTTTTTAGGTTTCCTTGTTTAATCTTATATAATCTTTAAGAGTTGGATGATACTTCTCAAAATAACAAGTAGTGGACCCAAATAAAATTTCTAAAAGCCGAATAGAATAATGATCATCATCATACTTTTGACCTTGACAGCAAACTCACATGCTGAGTGTTACATATTCAAAGCAGAATTGGATACGTTCAATATCGTTTACATACCTCCCCATTAGTTGTAGGTGATCCTTATCCATGTTCAAATTTAAAATTCTCCATGAAAATACGGAAACGGGGCGAAACTGAAGCACGCTCTTGATATATCTTTGAGTATAAATTAGAGTTAAATTCCAAGATTTCTAGTCGCATTTTATATTCTTTATATATTTATTTTATATATTATATTCTACGAAGGTTTATGTTAAGCGTTTTGCCTATTAACACTTTTGGAGAAATTTCTGCAAAGACTAAAATAATTCGGAAAAATTTTTGCTGTTTTGTTAGACAATTAGAACCAGCCGTTGTTGCATTAAATATTAAAGTAAATCTCACTAGAATTGTTTAATATACTATAAAAATATTCTATTAAACTCAAAAAACCAACCGATCTTACCGTTTTAGATTTTTTTATAATTGATATTATCGCTCGTAAAGTTATAAGTAATGATATGAAAAGCGCATTTTTCATTTTAAAATCTAGTTTTGTACGGCCAAAAATATAGTGTATTTATTGCTTTGACGTTTTAAGCATTTTACTGTACCTTAACCAACAGATGTTTATGTTTATTCTGCATTAAGTAGGTCTTGCCTGAGAAGGACCGTAACGAATATTTGTAGACACTTGAAATTTTTATTTGAAACGTAAGTGGATTTGATTAAGTATCGATGCTGCGGGGTATTTTCGAATTAGTAGAAGCGTTTATTTTAACATCAGGTTCTTAAGAGTTTAATCTTAATTTCAATATGTTCGTATGTATTACGGAGGTATTGGAATGTGATCCTTCCAGTAAGTACGGATTTATGTTCCTGATTCTCGAACTTTGACCCTGCGAGACTGTTTTCACTGGATAGTTCAAGGGGTAATGGTAAGTACTCTATTTATCTTATAAGTAAGTTTGAAAATAATCATTTTTGTCTTGTGTGCCTATCGATTAACAACATTTTTTCTTGTATTTTTGTGTCTTATAAATAGTAAGTAGCACAACAAAACGGGCATGAAACCTTGAGATGATTTGGTCTAAGTTGAAAGAGCATGCATATAAGAAGAAATAACACTGCACCAAAATTTAGTGATAGTATCATAAACGTAATTCGCCAAGAGGTAGCTAAAATATCAGTACGAAGATGGTTTAACTGTGAAAAACGAGTAATAAATGAAGAAAATATTTATCGAGAACGATTACTAGCGAAGTTGATCGATCATTGAACTAGGTGACGACAGTAGCGACAGTGACGATTTTTAAGTGACTGATACTTTATTATCATTATAATTATTTTTTTGTAATTAATAATGATACTATGTGAAACAGAACGCAATAAATTGTTACTTTGTAGTATTTTATTTATGTACATATTTCAAGAATTGCTCAGCAAAAAAGATTGAAAACACACTTCTATCCCACTTGTTAGTGTAAGCAGATAAATTTCAACGACGGTCCTGGTTACCGGTAAAGGGCTGCGGTTTTGGAGTAATAAACAGTAGGTGAAGTTAATCACGGGGTCGGTTGTAAAAATACAAACACACACAAAACACAAAACGTGTTTAAAGCTAATAGGAAATGAATAAAAGCTGTCAAAGTGATATGCATGATATTATTGGAATCTAAGATAAAAAGAAGTAAGGGTGGAAGGAGAATAATCAATTTCTTCCTATAATATGCCAATAATTCCGCGTTCCTTCGATTTTTTTGTATAAAAGAAAATTATGCTGCATAACAATATTACACCACATTTCAAAAAATTAGTTGAAGTTGTTTAGAAATAGAAGACCGACTAGAAGGCGCAAAGGTTAACGACATATGACGGCCATTATAGCCGACGCGGAAAAGCATCTCCAAATATTGATGAACAGACTGACCAAAGATAGTGTTAAAAGGGGTTTAGAGATAAACACCAAAAAAACATAAACAGTTGTTTTTGGAGGGCACCAATGATAATGTCAATACGCAGATAACTACCAATGGCGAAATTCTTCAAAATGTTAATAGCTAAATATATCTGGACAGAGAAATGGATAGCCATCTAGACCACTCAAAAGAGATCAGAAGAAGAATTGAGATCCCAATAGCCGGATTCCTGAACATGCGTAACTTGTTATGTCACCTCAAGCTGTCCACACCAGTTCGACTGAGAACCCTGAAATGCTACATATGGCTCTGTCGCATACGAAACATGGACATTAAAGCAAAAAACTTAACGCATTTGAACTGTGAGTGTACAGAAGAATGCTTAGAATCAGCTCTACCTCCAGGACAACCAATGAAAAAGTTCTAACAAAAGTGAACACTCGCGCGCTTTTGACTGGTGTTATTAAAATTAGAAAAACTTCCTTGGACACATAATGCGCCATGAACAGTATGAACAATTGCAGCTAATCCTGGAAAGCAAAATTCAGAGTAAGAGAAGTATAGGCAGAAAGAAGAAATCGTGGCTCAGAAACATCAGAGACTAGACACTACTTCATCAAGCCCACAATAGAGGAGACTTTGCCATATTGGTCGCCAACTTCGCCAGAGAAGACACATAGGAGGAGGAGGAGGAGATCTAGTAATATGATCACTTTGAGTCCATGACAACTTTAATTCATTTCCTAGTAGTTCTATGTATGTATACATGCTTTATGAACGTTGAAATGGTGGATACGCTAAAATTATTAAAATTTTTGTAATGTCGCAATAAAATAGGTACTATATTTTAGATTGCATTTCTATATCATTACATATCAGTTTATTAGCGATAATACTAACTATCAAAAAACCTAGAATTGTTAAAAGTTGAAAATTATAATTTTAATATGTCATCGCTCATGAAAGCACAAGCAATTATTATAATATTAATTAGTAA